CTGCAGATTGGATTTTTGAAGGAGTAAGATTTGAAAACACGTGAAGCAGAAAGAAATTGCCTGCATTTAAATGGCACCATTTGCCAGAAGTCCTTCCCAGCCAGTTGTTCTTTGTTATTTAGATGCTTTAACACTTGGCTTCTGCCTGATTTTTTTTAAATCCTGGCACAGCCTTTTCTGTGCAGGGGAGAATTCTGATTGCATTTGTAAGTTTAGTACAAAAAAAATCCTGTTTACACTAATCCATGATTCCAATGTCCCAGCCTCCTGCGGGCAAAGGCAGATGGAGAAAGCAAACCCTGCTTAAGTGAAGAGACTGGCAGGGTACAGAAAACCGAGGCAAAGGGGGATTCAGAAGACATTTTAAAAATTGAATATTTTTTGTAAAGCTCTTTGTCTCACTCTATATCATAGAAATTACAGAAAAATACTGACTTTTCATGGCTTCAGTAAGCAGAAAAGGGTATCTTAGGTAAGTGTAAGGAATAGCTCAGAGGTTTAAGGTCAGTAGATGCAAAGCAATCCAGAAAAGCAGAGATCACTGCTAATTTAAGAAAAAATAAATTGATACTTGCTTATATTTGATATTTTTCAGTGTCTGTTGAACTACCCTGAAGGACTCAGAAATGTGGCACTACAGGCCCAGACCCTGAAGATGCAATAACAGAGCTGCTATCATGGAGAGAACAAAACAAAGAGCCAGAATTAGCAGGGCTGGGTGCATCCCATTTGGCCTCCTGGAAAACATCTGCCATTTGTCAGGACTACAAAGCCAGGAGAGCCCTCTCCCCCTTGGTCTGCAGCAATTAGGGAAATTCTGTTGTGCTAATTACCTGGGGAGACAACACAGGGAGAAGGCTGATAGCGAGTGACACTTGAAGGCAACATTTACACCAGCAAAAATCAGATATTTCAAGTTACTGGAAACCACAAAAAGTGCCTCACCAGCCTCCCAGAACAAGCTGGAGAACGCTGATCTCTGGGTATAAAGTTAGGATAAATATTAAAAACTTAATAATAAAAAAAAATTAAATTCTATAAACAATCTAAGCAAGAGAGCCTGCGGAGCTGCTGAGTCTGCAGAGGTGGAGAGGGTTTGAAATGCTCGGCTCCCCCAGTACAGATGGTTTGAATTGCAGAGAAATGGAGCAATCCACGTCCTGCCGGCTGCAGCACCACTGCACTCCTGCTGCTGCCAAGCCATTATTGGGAAATATTTGTCACATATTAGCTGGAACATCAGATTACTACACTGAACATTTAACGCTGTTTTGTAATAAATCCATACGTTCAAAAGCGTATGACACCGTCCCAGCGGGAACTCGAGATGAAAACAGGGAAATGCATCAGGAGATTTGGAGTTAAAGCTCCAGAGGTGCTGTTAAATAAAAAGGCACATGGAAACACAATGCACACATAGAAATACGCAGTGCAAGAGCCAACCAGCAGAGCTGGAGCTCTTTACACCCTCAGTCCACAATTCAGCAAGGACCAGCTGCTGGGCAAGGCATGCTCTGTGGGCTGGGGCTGGTTTAAGCCCTTTTTTGCTGGATTTAAGGAAACATTTGCTCTCAGGCTCTAGCATGATGCATCCAGCACCTTGAGATCTCGAGGGACCTGTTCTCACAGAGCTTGAAGACTTTTGGCACAGCAAATACCACCTTTAACAAGAGTCTTTGGCACCTGATGTTTTAAAGGACTGCTAAAATTACAAGGTGGGAAAAATAAAAAATAATCCTTAAAAAACACATATGTGAGAAGGCAGCCAGAGCCCACACAACTGATAAACAAATTGTTTACCAGTGTGAAGTTTCAGTCCTGCCTTCAACCCACCTCCAGACTGTCCCAAATGCCATGTACACCAGTGCTCCTGCACCTGCTGCGTTTCATCCTGCAGCAAAGGCTTTGTGAGGATCCCACCAGAGAAAGAGCTGAACACAAGGGGACAAGGGGCCTCTCTGCAAAGCATTACAGGCCTGGCTTAGGGAATGACAATAACACAATATTAAGCTGCTGTTTCCCTGCAGGACAACATATGGGGACAGGCTGTCCTGGCCCTGCCCAGTGCCTGCAGCATCCAACCGCTGCCACCCCGTCCCGAATAGCTGAGGGAACTCAAGGGCCGTGTCTAGCCCCAGAGTGGGGTCACCAGGCTGTCACAGCCTTCCCGAGCCTGACCCACACTCCGTCCAGCTGCTTCAACCCCCTCAAGGATGCTCTTCTCTCCCTCAGCCACAAAAATGCCCAAACCACAAAGGGCTCAAAGTGACACCAAGTTGTTGTCATCCTCCCCCGCATCGCCTTGCTTGAATGAATAATGCAAAACAAGTCAACTCAGAGCAGTGCACAGATGCTCAGAGCAACTGCAGAGGCAACTTTTTACAGCATGCTCAGCACTGGAGACAGAAAAAATTTTTAAAAGCTTTTAAAAATATATTCTTTTAATTATCTTTTTTTTTTTCAAATTGTTATTACTTCCAAGGTCTGGACAGGGCTCCGAGAAACCTAATCTAGCTGGATATGTCCCTGTTCACTGCAGGGCAGTTGGGCTGGATGATTTTTAGAGCCTTTCTATGGTTTCTTTCGCCGATCGCGATCTCTCCGTGGCCCTGGTGAAACAGCCGGGCCCCCTCTGCCGGCCAGCGGCCCCCGCAGCTGCGGAAAGCCCCAGGGTCCCGTCCTAAAGCCAACCCAGCTGTGCCCTACAGCCAAACGGGACCTCCAACAGGAGCACAAAGCACAGAACGGGTCCGTTTGGGTCGGGGGCTCTTCCAGGAGGGAACGGCGTTTGTCTTTTGTCTTGGTTTTACAAGCAGTGATTCAGGATTTCTGTAGTTAGAATAACTTGACCCCCATTTAACTTTTAAGTGGGTCGTTGTCATCTTGTTCCAAAACTGCTTTGGATGTGTAGCGAGTCAATTGTATCAAAGCAGTGCCCTAAGAACAACCGCCACCCCCTCAAGTGCAAACAAACCCCAAACTGAGTCATTTCTAGGAGAAATCAGGGCTTGTTTAAAGCGAGCCCAGCCCTGAGCCTGCGTTGGCTCCTGCGCTGCCCACGGTGGCTCTGTGGGGCAGCCGGTGCTGTGATTTTTATAAAAAGGCGCTGAAGGAGGGGACACTCCTGCATGGCAATCACAGAGCATCCTCCTGACGCTCTCCCTCCCCAGCTGGCTCTAAACCCAGCCGTAATGAGGAGTTCCTAAGCCTAGAAGGGTTTTTGGCAGAGGAAAGCCGCCCAGCCCAGGTGTTCAGGGTACCCACCAGCTGCCCATGGGAAGCAGGAGCGGGGCTGGCAGCATCTCCCCATCCCCTCCACAAGGAAATTTTCCTTTCAGCTGCTTTTTCAGTGCACAGGTAAATTGAAGCTCAGCTGCTGGTTTGCAACCTGGTGTAGCTCAGCAGTGAATGCCAGTGAGGGCCACAGGCTCTCAGGTGTTTCCAGACCAAGCTCTTTAACTACAGAGCAATTCAGCCTTTGTCAGGAGAAAAAAGAATGAAACACAGCTGAAGATGTCTTTGATTTGCTCAAAAACAGCCAAAAGGCTTCAGGACCGTCCAGCAGCACATCCCCAGTCAGCTCCCTGCAGTGGTGGCCAGGAGCAGCCACCGATGGGACGTTTCCTACCCACCAGGAATCACCTCTCCTTCCCTCGCTCACAAATCGCTTTGTTTCATTCCTAATGACTGTAACGAGCCATTGAGCAGCACGTGGGAAATCCTTCCCCTTCCTCTCTTCCCCCATCTCCCAAACACAGCAACCAGCAGCTCAGTGACCCGGAACAGAACTGGGACTTCCCTGGACAAAAGGAGCCTCTTCAATCCCAATTGCTTTCCGAGGAGCAAAGGAAAAGCCTCTTGACCACTTAAGCACACCAGCAGCGCCCTGTTTGTCCAGACCACAGAAAGACACAGCCACAGGTCCCATGAGGCTGGTGGACTTGTTGGGTCTGTGCACCACAAGAGAGAAACCTGATTTGACCACTTTGCAAAGAGCTGAAAATAAGCAGGATTTGTTTCTCAGCTGGTGGGTTTTGTTACCAGGCAGTGAGGCACACAGGGAGCCTTCCACCAGAAAAGCAGCGAGTACATTTAAGAGCATCATTAGTGAAATGTTTCTGAGATTAAACATAATCTCACAGAAAAAAAAAAAAGTTCTTTTTTTTTAATTTTTTTTTGTCCTGCGAGTATGGACTAACACTGTGTTTTTCGGTAGGACTTGTATCCAGGGTGGCAGGGAAAATTGACCCTGCCCCTTTGCCTATTCTGCCATCCCCATGTAGCATTTAGTGTTTGTTTATTTTCTTTAAAACTAGAATGGAACACTCTGCTGCTTGCAAGTCCTTGTAACACTGTGAATTCTCCCGCATCAAAGCACTGCACATCTTTCACTACTTTTGTGAAAAGAAAAAAGAAAATAAAGGCTCCAAGTGCCCTAGCTCAAAGTCACTCGCACCCTTCAGTGTGACAGCAGAGCACTTCACAGAACATTTCTGTAAATGAGGTTCCTTTACAAACTAATCTAAGCTGTTTATTGTTTCCAAGGAGCATGCACTTCCACAGCAGAACAGGAAGTTTTGACGGTTTTAGAAGTTCATTAAACTCTGGGAGGAAATTTAAACAATCGGTGACAGCTTTCCTACAGCACAAGAAATCCTGCCCTCCGAAAAGGCAGAGAGGCTGCAGCTTTTAATTATCACACTTGCATTAAACCCCAGTGATTTTGTTACTACTTCTAAATTGTTTTGGCCCAACACCCAGGGCTCACAACCCAGTCAAGTTCTTCCCTCTTTTATTCTTATAGCCAAACATCGCTTTTGTCCAAACCTCAAAATCCTTGATCTGTAAACAGGCCAAAGCAAGGCACTGGGAGACGCTGGAGCGCTTTGGCTGGGGAAAAACACTTCTTAACACATTTCCCTCCATGGAAGGAGCGTGTAAAACGGGAGAGAGGGGCTCAGAGGGTGGGCTGCCCCGGGCCGGGCTGTACCTGCACCTACCTGGGGGGCACACGCAGTCCGGGGGCGCCTCCCGCGCCGTGCGCAGCTTCGCCAGGCCCTCGCCGAGTTTCTGTTTGGAGGGATGAAAAGAGCCCTTTAGAGAGAGCACCACACCTGAACGCTGTGCATGCATGCCAACATCCAAACCAGCCAGGGAGGGGAATGGTTTAATGTCCCATGCCACAGTAGCAAGGAAATATGAAATGTTTCTGAGTGAGTGGCAGCCTACAGCCCCCACAGGGAGCAGGCAGACACTCCTCCTGCACATCCCGAAGTCCCCTGAGCAAGTCTCCATTGGCAGGATTCATCCTGAGCTCCTTTACAAGTCCTGTGTTCAAACTTGACCTGATTTGGTTGATTTTGCACTCAAAATTCATGCTCTGTGGAGTGTTAGAGGTTTCTTTAGCAGAGGGATGAGGTAAAGTTCAGTCAAGACTGGAGTGCCCACCCACCTTCAGGCCTAACCAAAGCCCAGTGTTTCCATCCCCAAAGTGAAAATCTCATCAATGGGGTAGAACTAGAACACATAAAAATTCATGAAACGAGAGCAGTGTCTACGTGGCATGTTGCAGGCAGATGTGTGCACACTCAGGCTGCTGCCTAAGCCAGCCAGACTGTTCGTGCCTGCATTTAGCCCACTGCCAAGCCCAAGTTAATGAGCCTGATGACAGGTACACTACATTAGCTCAGGCATACTCCCTGCCTGGGACAGCCCAGCAAGGGTGGGAACAGCTCATCTTCACCCACAATCTTCACTCTCTCAGTCCTCCAGGAATGCCCTGTCCTACCTAAAGTACTTGCCAAAAGATAAACCAATAATCTGATAACTGGAGTTCCTTCATTTCAAAGACAGAAAATTCAAAGTACTTATTCAGTTTAGGGTGTTAAGACTTGATATTGTACAACTGATGACCCAGTCTCTTTTCAAATATTTGAACACTGTGGACTATTCAGGTATTAGGCTTCCTGTGAATTAGGTTATTTTCTTTTTATTCTGAGGATTAAATAGTTTTATCTGTTGTTGAAATCCTATGCTTCCTCTATCTACTTGGATGCGACACTAAGAGGTCCTGAAAGTATCAACACGGTTTCATAGCACCTGACAGAGTAGTTGTCCTAAGGGAAGTATAAATACCAGAACAATCCAGCTGCCTTCTGCAAAACACTTTCCTTGAGAAAATGCGGCAAAAAAAAAACATCTAAGGAGATTTTTCTGACAGCCACCTGCAGTCTAAATGTTACAGAGTTGCTCAAGTTCTATCTGTTTACTTTTAAAGTAATTTGGATGATGAAGATGCTCGAGGAAATGAAAACAAGCTCTCCCACATTTTTGGTTCAGCAGGCATCACTGGGAGCAGCAGAGGAGATCTGAATCCTGGAGCGAGCCCTCTGTTCTCCCATTGAATTGTTGTTGTCATGAAACTGATTAATCTGGACACTGCGGACAATAAATCCTTTGTGAACAAAATGGTTCAGCTTTGTTTACAACAACTGGATGTTTCCATAATCCTCCTGTTAATATTTTCCCTCCAGTGTGAAAACTACACACTTGGAGCTGGGGCTTTTGACACGGAGCAAGTGGAGATGCTGCCACGTCTGGACTGTGCTGTTGGCGATGTTTCAGAGGGCATCAAAGCAGGAGCTGCAGCACATCCCACTAACGGGACAAGCCAAGGGCAGGGCAAGGTCCTGCCACAGCCAAATCAGCAATTTCTGCAGAGTTACATGGATGCCTGTCACAGAGCCAGCAACTAAATCCTTCTTGTCCAAATTGGCTTTCATTACCTAAACTACACACTTACCCTTCCTATATTATTTCCTATCCTCTTTTACTTGCCAAACATCCAAACAGCACTAAAAGGAGCAGAGCCAGTGTGTTGGTGTTGTATTTGCTGCTCTCTCTGCACAGCTCTGCCATAAATTATGCCAGCAAACCCCTCCACTGGTACATGGAGTAAAAGTTTTTGGGTCGTGGTAGAGAACAAAGGATGCTGGGTCATGCACAGAGAGCGTATGGAGCTTTGGTTTCACTTCTGAAATACTGTGGTAAACTTCAAAGGAGGACCAACACAGAATTTAACAAAAAAACTGACCCCAGGCATCAGTTGATGTTCATGACGATGAAAATACTCTCTCACTCTCCAGAAACTCTCAAGCACAGAAAGGGCAGCAGTTGCTTGACAAGTGAGTGGTCTTATGTAACAGAGTTTGGGCAAGAAACACTTTCTGAAACTTTACCATAAATTAAGAGGTCCATTTAAAATGACCATTAATAGATAGTGCAATTACTACTATGGATGCATCAAATTTGTTGCTTGATTCAAAATTTGCTTTAGCATTGACAAGAGTTTGGTCATACTAAATGTTTCAACAAGCTCACTCTTCCATTAGAAACCCAATTATGTGGTTTTGCTTTATTTTCCCCTGTACAAACTCCATCTGAGCATTCCCAGTACAAAACAAGCTTTCCACACTTAACTAAATCTCAGCAAGAGGTTGCACATGATCTTAGGCAGTGCCACAGAAACCATTCCCATTGCTAAGCACATTTATTGGGGTAATTGGAACAGAACCACTGCCACAACCGGCAGGCTAATTCCTGCCTGGAGAACAGACATTAACTAGAGGCTGTGACTACGCCTCACAGGCACCCCCCCTGCTCTGGTATTCAGGGTTTTCACAAAAATATTTTAACATTTCACTTTTATCGAGGCACATCAACGCAAGCAAGTTTCCAGGCAAAAGAACATGCTGTGGTGGTGCCAGCAATAGCCTCTCCCTAGCTCCAACAGCAACACACAGCATGAGGAATTGTCTCCCCATGCCCCCAGCACTGCCTCCATCCCTGCTCACAGCCCCAGAGCTTTCACAGAGCTCCACACACAAACACATTTTTGCATGATTGAGGCTTCATGGCTGTCATGATTTTAACGCATGTTTTGCACCGCAGTCAGGCCATTAATAAAATCCCAGTGTAAAACCTTCCCCAGATGTCAGAACTGATCACTCAGGGGTGCTCTTCAGCAGCCCCACAAGCCGTGTTGAATCTTGCTGAACTTTACGAACTACTGTTTATACAAATCCAGCAAACCAACAGCGGGATCTTCAAGCACTTCCTATGAGTGATGGAGCCCTTCACGTCCCCCTTGCCTGTAAAAAGCCCCAAACCTAAACACCAGAATCAGGAAAAAGATAACCCTGGGATAAAGTGTAACTTCTCCCAGAAATTTGGTTTAGTTAGACACTGAGAAGGGCACCAGTGTGGATAATAGTTCTCCAAGTAGGCGGATTTGTTCAGCACAGAAATATTTATTGAATAATTTCAGAAAACCCCAGGACTGAAAGTGAAGTAACAAGTGGCGGGTCTCCTCTGCCCGCCATAAATCAGTTCTGCACTGCCAGACCACAATAGTCTGTGACAGAGAGTCCAGATAGCGGGGATCATGTTCATAATTTCTAACAAGGAAATTATGGTCCATTAAATCCCAAGACAAATAGTTAAAACACTCGGGTTACCTGTGTCAGTGAATAGAATAAGGGGGAAAGTCGCATGTCCTTTAACCTTCGACAGCCGGCCCTTCACCTGGGGCTAATCAAGGTGGGATCTGCCACGCCTCGACCTACGCCTGATTCATGGGAACGGCAGCAAAGAGTGGAAAGTTTGGAAGAAGGGAGTACGTTTTCTCACAGAGGATGAGGAGCCGGTGACACAGGGAGCGAACCCCGCGGCGGAGCGGGACCGGAGCGCCTTCCCCGACCCTCACACGGAGCCAA